TGTTCGCGTGTGGTACCCGACTCTCGAGCAGGACGATAAATTTACCAGATACAGCCTCAAATACTCTTGCCAGTACCACTTTCGTGTTTTAAACACGTCAAAATGTTTTATGGATACTTCATAGAAGCGTTTGAGATAAAACTCCACAATAAAGTTACCTGTCGTCGGCAAATCGAAAGCTCTAAGACATTTCGCTCGGCCGCCATGTTCCAATTATTGGCAGTATAATATTAAAAGTATAAAAGTGGCATAATGTTCCTGCCAAATTACACGGAAAAAATATGCGAATCGTTTCTAAAATTCGGGAAGACAACGAGACGATTCTTAATTACTCTGCATTCATTATAAAATAAGACAGTCTGAGGACCCGTAGCTGACCACAAGCATAAGTTTATCTGCTTTGTACTTCAGACATCGATATCATAAAATTTCGAATAAAATTATCGTATCATAACATAAATGATCTTTTAATATCTTAAGAGCGAGTTTTTTAAAATTATAATTAAAAGCAAGTTTAGATATTAAACAAAAGAGAAACTCTATTTTCCTTGCAAGCAGCTACTCAATTTGCTGACTGAACTATCTCGGCTTTTGACATGTTCATTGCTAGAAACGAGATATATCGATTTGGAACCGTTCCAATGTCTGTCTATTCTTTGATATGTGACATCATTAAAAAAAAATCCTGTCATTTTTTGCTATTTTAAGTAAACCATTTGCAATGTTACGTAAAGTGAATTTTTAAGTTACAGTAAAAAAACATAACAAAGTAATTTATATTGAGCTGAAGATAAGAGCATGGAATCGTCGAAATTCTAAAATCCTTCTACTTTTTAAATTGCACTGCGTATTGACGTAGGCCATTAATGAGAACCTGTCCAGCAGCGAAATCCTTTCACAATTCAATAGCAGTTCCATTATGCCACTGAAATTAAAACGGAACAGATGGTAGGGGCCCCGAAGTAAGTCTGCACCACATGTCTGTTACAGTGAAGTAACAATTCCGGTCGAAATGTCGCCAGACACAATCAGAGGGCCGAGACGAATTATGAAACACGAAACGTCGTATTCGACTCCGTGTTCAAAGTTGCTTATGGTAACGTCACAGGAACTTTACAGTTCGCGGGGAGGGGGGGGGGG